TTCTCATTTTCTTTGATCTCAACTCCTTTTTTTTAAAACTTCCCCATTCCTGCTACTGTACTGCTGGTACTACAATCTTATTTTCAGTTCAGAAATTCATTGTAAATGCCTCTTTTTCCTCAAGTGACAGTATTTTCTCTCTCTTTTTTTTTTTAAGATTTTATTTATTTATTTGACAGATAGCGAGAGGGGGAACACAGCAGGGGGAGCGGGAGAGGGAGAAGCAGGCTTCCCGCCAAGAAGGGAGCCTGATGTGGGGCTCGATCCCAGGACCCCGGGATCATGACCTGAGCCGAAGGCAGATGCTTAATGGCTGAGCCACCCAGGCGCCCCCATTCTTCCTTCACAAAATCTACCACCCTTTCTACTCCCACAGCAACATTAATGGAAAAATCTGTAAGTCCATTTTCTTCTCCCTATAATAACCTGTAACTGGTCTCTTTCTGAATATGCAGAATAGCCAATGGTGTCCCAGTAAACTGGCTCACTGCAGAGGAAAAAACCCTCTGATAGGTAGCATTTGCTGATTTCTGTGGCTGAGATCAGACTACCAATGATTTAATAACTGGCCCACAAAATTCCTGAATATTTAACAACCAACTCCAGTACACCATTGGTAATAACTTTCAGAGATACAATAAAACCCGTCTTTGATCTACATGTACTATTGTTAATAAATACATTTTTTTCTATTTGTTTTACAGATTTTTGCCTGTTTTTATATAAAAATATATATAAACTTTATTGCTATAATTCATATACCATTATAATTCACATACCCATTTCAAGTGTGCAATAAAGTGTGCAGAGTGTGCAACCATCATCATAATCTGTTTTAGAACATGTTTATCACCCCAGGGAGAAGCCCTGTATCCATTAGCAGTTACTCTCCATTTCTCCCTAATCCTCCAAGCCCTGTATAACCACTAATTTACTTTCTGTATAAATTTTCCTATTCTGGATATTATATATAAATGGAATCATACAATAAGTGGTCTTTTGTGGCCAGCTTCTTTCACTTAGCATAATATTTTCAAGATTTTAGGATCCCTGTTGTGGCATGTGTCAGTACTACATTCCTTTTTATGCCCAAATGTCATTTGTTTCTTGAGGTATAACTTAAATATAATAGAGTGCACAGACCTTGAGTGTACAGCTCAATAAATTTTTACATATGTATATATCCATGTAATCACCAGTATTCCCAGAAGACTCTCATGCCCCTGCTTGTCAGTATCCACTTTACCCAAATTTCCTCCTTTTCCTGTGGCTTCTAGTCATCATAGATTAGCTTTGCCTGTTTTTGACCTTTATATAGATAGAATCATAAATTATGTGTTATTTTGTGAATAGCATATGTTTTTAGAAACACAAACTACTGTTAAGCAACTCTGAGTACTCACTTCTAGAGGATAAATTGTCTAATCTGTAGAGAAATCTCTACTAACTAAAGAAAATTGTATATTTGGGTCATTGGTCTATTCTTATCTCCTTTAAAAAATGTTCTTAAATTGGGGCACCTGGGTGGCTCAGTCGTTAAGCGTTTGCCTTCAGCTCAGGTCATGATCCCAGGTTCTTGGGATTGAGCCCCGCATCGGGCTCCTTGCTCAGTGGGAAGCCTGCTTCTTCCTCTCCCACTCCCTCTGCTTGTGTTCCCTCTCTCGCTGTGTCTCTCTCTGATCTTTTAAAAAAAATGTTCTTAAAAAGGATAGCACACATATGTACCCATGTCTCCTAAAAATGAATGTTTTATCTTTATAGCTTTAGCATATCTTAAACTAAGCTTATTATATAAGTGATTTTTAAAAAGAAATAGTTTTTTTTTAAGATTTATTTATTTTTAGGGAGAGAGCGAACATACAGTGGGGAGGGACAGAGGAAGAGGGAGAGAGATAACCTTAAGCAGGCTCCCCACTCACAATCCTGAGATCATGACCTGAGCTGAAATCAAGAGTCAGACGCCCAACCAACTGAGCCACCCTGGTGCCCCAAAAAGAAATATGTTTTAATTTTAAAACCTAATCTTAAAGGACGCCCGGGTGGCTCAGTCAGTTGAGTGTCTACCTCTTAGTTTCTGCTTGGGTTATGATCTCATGGTGAACCCTGAGTCAGGCTCTGCATCCAGGGTGGGAGTCTGCTTGAGGATTCTCCCCCTCTGCCTCTCTTCCTACTCACGCTCTCTTTCTCTCTCTCAAATAAATATATAAATCTAAAACCTAATCTTAAAAAATCCATCCTTATCTGAAAAGAAAACAAAACAGTGTCTTCCCAGTTCCTGGATTCAGCCCCATCATAATGTGATCTATTTAGAATTTAAAATTCTAAGCAAACATTACTACAGCCCAACAGAAATTAAAAGAATTATAAGGGAATGTTATGAAAAACTGAATGCCAAAAAATTTGACAATTTAAATAAAATAGAAATTCCTAGAAAGAGACAAATTACCAAAACTGACCCAAAATGAAATAGAAAATCTGAATGGACTTATCCCAAGTTAAAAAAAAAAAAAATTCGAATTTATTTTTAAAAATCTTCCCACAAAGACAAGCCCAGTCCCAGATGCTTCATTGGTGAATTCTTTCAAACTTTAGGGAAGAAATAGTTCCCTGTTCTGAACAGTTTCTCTGCTATTTCAGAGAATATTTTCTATCCCATTTTATGAAACCAAACATCAAAGCCAGGCCAAAAATAAAAACAAAAAACAACAACACAAGAAAAGGAAACTATAGTTCAAAATTTCTCACAAACTTATATGTAAAAATTCTTAACAAGATATTAACAAATTCAGGAACATATAAAAAGATTTATATAGTATGACCAAGGGGGAATTTTACTCTGGAATGCAAGGTTGGTTTGACATCCTAAAACTCAATCTAATACACCAGAAATAACAAAAGACAAAACCAGAATATGATTGTTTTAGTAATGCAGAAAAAGCATGTGACAAAATCCAACACCTTTTTATTATAAAAACTCTCAACAAATTGCAAAAACAATTTGTTTTTTTGATAAATGGCATCCACAAAAAACCTAGTTAACATAATATTTAATGGTAAAAGATTGCATGCTTTACCCCTAAGATTGGGAAAAAGGCAAGGATATTTGTTCTTGTTACTTCTGTTTAACATTGTGCTAGAGATTCCAACTAAGGCAATAAGGGATAATAAAAAGGAAATTAAAGGCATCCAGATTGGAAAGAAGTAAAATGTCTTTAGTCACAGATGACATGATCTCATATGTAGAAAATCCTAAGGAATGTACCAAACAAAGTGCTAGAACTAATAATTGAGTTTAGCAAAGTCACAGGACCAAGATCAAAATACAAAAATCATCTGAAATTATACACACAGACACAACATTTGCACATATAAATCAATTTGCATTTCTATAGACTAGCAAGGGACAATCCAAAAATAAAGTTAAGAAAAACAATTCCCTTCACAATAGAATCAAATAGAATAAAATACTTAAGAATAAATTTTTTTTAGATTTTTTTATTTATTTGACAGAGACACAAAGAGAGAGAAGGAACACAAGCAGGGGGAGTGGGAGAGGGAGAAGTAGGCTTCCCGCTGAAGAGGGAGCCCGATGTGGGGTTCGATTCCAGGACCCTGGGATCATGACCTGAGCTGAAGGCAGATGCTTAACCATCTGAGCCACCCAGGCGCCCCAAGAATAAATTTTTAAAAAATATTTTATTTATTTATTTGAGAGAGACAGCACAAGCAGGGGGAGGACCCCAGAGGGAGAGGGAGAAGCAGGCTCCCCACTGATCAGGAAGCCCGATATGGGGCTCGATCCCAGGACCCTGGGATCATGACCTGAGCTGAAGGCAGATGCTTACCTGACTGAGCCACCCAGGTGCCCCAAAAATAAATTTAACAAAAACTCTGAAGTAGGGCTTTCCTCTGTAGAGGAAAGAGCATTCCTGCATTCTTATTTCAGCTTTGCCTCTGAGTAATTGCATATAATTCATACAATTTCTTTGAACCTTGTTTTCCTCATCTTTAAATTGAGAATTATTGTGCTTCTTGCCTCACAGGGCTGTTATGAGCATTAGAATATATTTATAGTGTAAAGCATTATACAGTGATAATCATACTTAATAAAGCATACAGAAGCTATTTGCCTTCCCAGTCCCCTAGTTGAAGTGGTATGAAAATGTACTTAAGGGGGCGCCTGGGTGGCTCAGTTGGTTAAGCGACTGCCTTCGGCTCAGGTCATGATCCTGGAGTCCCGGGATCGAGTCCCGCATCGGGCTCCCTGCTCGGCAGGGAGTCTGCTTCTCCCTCTGACCCTCCTCCCTCTCATGCTCTCTGTCTCTCATTCTCTCTGTCTCAAATAAATAAATAAAATCTTTAAAAAAAAAAAAAAAAGTGAGGAAAAAAAAAAAAAAAAGAAAATGTACTTAAGAACCTTGGCAATTTCCAGGGCGCCTGGGTGGCTCAGTCCTTGGGCGTCTGCCTTCGGCTTGGGTGGTGATCCCAGGGTCCTGGGAGCAAGCCCCGCATCGGGCTCCCTGCTCACTTTGAAGCCTGCTTCTCCCTCTCCCACTCCCCCTGCTTGTGTTCCCTCTCTCGCTGTGTCTCTCTGTCAAATAAATAAATAAAATCTTAAAAAAAAAAAAAAAAGAACCTTGGCAATTTCATCACATAGAACAGGGTCGGGTGTTGTGCCAGGTAGTGGAGGAGCCATTATTCTGGACCCAGTTAGTTGGGACTATGCTTAGTTTCCCATCCACCTCGCTCAATATTACGCTGAAATCACCAGTAAGACATTTATCTTTCCTATCATGATTTACTGATTTACCCATTTGGTAAAAGGTTGCAACTTTCACTTGTCATTTTAAAATGCCTTTTTTTCTTTTGTTATGGCTTTAGGAGGAACTTAATACCAGTATATTGAATAACTGATTGTTCTTTAAAGTTGCCATTTTTTGAGTATTTCAGTCTATACCATTGAATTTAACTTTCTTTTCCTTCACTTTCCTCTTCTTAAGGGCTTACAGCAGCCAGCTCCTTTTTCTGACGAAATTGAAGTTGACTTTAGTAAGCCCTATGTCAGGGTAACTATGGAAGAAGCCAGCAGAGGAACTCCTTGTAAGTAAATGCCTATTTATACTGTTGTTTTACTCTTGTTTTTAGCATTCAATTGTATTTATCAAACATACATGTACTTTCTGTATTTTTTCCTCAGTTTACTTGTAAAGTTTAGTTAGGGGAGGGTTTCCTCCCATCTCCCAGTTGTTCTATTTGGGAAAAATAACTGTACTCCATAAAATTTCATTTTTTCTTCTTCTTATAAACTTGTTTCCTGTGATGTTGTTACAGCTTGAGATATAGTGGAACAGAGATAATAGGGCATTAGCCCGAGCTGGATTATAATCTCGTCTGTTTTTACAAAGGTCCAAAAATATGTTAGGCTGTCACGTTTTTAATAGCCTTCAGAATTGTCCCCCAGATCTCCCTTTCTATAAGTTAGTACCCTAGCTATGATGCTGCTTTAGGACAAAAATATTCCTAAGTGGGGAAATTCTTATCACTTAACTTTATCTTTACTGATATTTTTTAGGTTTTTTTTTTAAATACTCACTTTATTATTTTTAAAACCTATACTCTTTATTTCTATGCTTAGTTTACATCATTAATGAGCTATTTTTGACTACATAAATTATTAATATGTATTCTAGATACTCTTCCTGTTTTGGACAAGTGGATTTAGGGATCCTCATAAAGAGAACCTTCCTTGAGTGTTAGGAATATAAAGCCCTATAGGCAGCTGTCCTTACTTATTTGTAAATTCTCCAATTCTTTTTTTCAATCCTTTTTTGGTTCTTTCCATTACTATGGTAAGTGTTCTGTCTACTCTGTAAATGTAGGCCTGCACTCAAACCCAGGCAAGTACTAGGGAACAAGAGGTAGTTACAGCCACAAGTCTATACATTTCCACTAGATAGAAGATATTTGTGGTTACTTCTTTTTTTTTTTATAAAGGTTGTTTTTTGTTTTGTTTTTGGTTTTTTTTAAAGATTTTTATTTATTTATTTGACAGAGAGAGACACAGTGAGAGAGGGAACACAAGCAGGGGGAGTGGGAGAGAGAGAAGCAGGCTTCTCAGAGCAGGGAGCCCGATGTGGGGCTCGATCCCAGGACCCTGGGATCATGACCTGAGCCGAAGGCAGATGCTTAACGACTGAGCCACCCAGGCGCCCCTGTGGTTACTTCTTAATAGTGTTAGTATGTTTGCTCTCTGTTGTAACTGAAGAGTAGCAAAATATGAATAGACATGAATGCTGGACAATTTCAGGCCAGGGATCCCAGTACTCCTTAGCTATTTCTTGGCTATATGGAGCATAGCTTTTGAGTCCTCAAAATTCCAGAGAATGCTTTCTTTTTGCAAAAGTGTTTAGATGTAGCTCATGTTGATCACGACCCTTCTGACTCATGATGGTATTTTGGACTTGGCTCCCCTTGAGTAATAAGCAGGCCAGTGGGGCAGGGCAAAATGACAACAAAACAGTGTAGTGGTATCAGGTCAAATTTCAAAATGCCATCAAACAGTGCAAGGATCACATTCACATGTGATAGTAGACCTGTTGAAGGCAAGATCTTTTCATGTGCTCTCTAATAACACACATTCAGAATGTAGTACTTCACTCAGATCTGATCACATTGGCTATATTACCCAGCTTATTGCTAATCTACAAATCACCTGTGGTACATAAAATGTTTGTGTGTGCATGTGTACTATTCCCAAGTTTTAAAGCTTATAGTTAACAAGCACTAACTAATCTAATTTTTAACAATTTTAGAATTAGAATTTTAACAATTTTAGAATTTTGTAAGTCATTTTTTGAGATTATCTACTTTATCATCTCTTCATTATATACATGAAGAAATTGAAGTCCTCAGAAACTAAGAAGTGAGAGCTTCCCTATAATAAAACAAATAATTAGTGATAGAATTGAAACTAAAACCTAAGTTTCTCCATCTTTGTGTTCTTTTCACCCTGGAGTGATGCTGCTCTTTGTAGACATTAGTTATAAAAAATAGAAGGCCATTGGCAAACTGATTGCATTTTAAGTGGAACAAAGAGTCACAAATTAGCCTATAAAGTTGGCTGGTCTAATTTGGTCTCCAGTTTTTCTCCTATATCTCATTCTGTCTGTTCAGTCTTAAGTTAAATAACCACGTGACTATTCATGCCAGTGTTGGACAAGGAGTAAACTAATAAAGAATCTACACATGCCATGATTAGTAAATTTTATTTTATTTATTTATTTTTTTTTAAGATTTATTTATTTATTTATTCATGAGAGACAGAGAGAGAGAGAGAGAGAGAAGCAGAGGGAGAAACAGGCTCCCAAGGAGTAGGGAGCCCGATGCGGGACTCGATCCCAGGACCCTGGGATCATGACCTGAGCCGAAGGCAGACGCTTAACCATCTGAGCCACCCAGGCGCCCTGATTAGTGAATTTTAAACCAATAACTTGTACAAGGGTCATCCTTCCCACCCCACCCCCCCAACACCATGTCTTCAGTAGGGAGGTTAAGGGAATACAAGAAAGGAGTTGGTATAATCTAGGAGAAAACTCACTACCCAGAGGGAAAAAAAATATAGCTTAAAAGATGAAAAGCTTCTTTCTTTTGGAAGATGAAAGAAAAAAGTCAGCAATATGTTTTCTAGGAGAAAGGGAAAAAAAAGGCAAAGTCTGAAGGGCAATGGAATCTGTTAGGGGCAAAAGTTTTGGTGATAGGTATTTGAGAGAATATATCAAAAGATGCAGTAAATTGAAACACAGACCTGTTCTGCCTAAAGGAAAACATATTTATTTAGCCAACAGTAGTGCAAGGACTATAATTTATAAAACAAATCAGGACCATTTTGAAAGTGAAAGGGGGTTGCTCTTAATAATAAGCTGAGACAATATATAAATCAGGGTTTGGTCATCCTGGCCAGTAGACACTTGGTAAGAGAATGAATAACTCGTGCTTTTCCCCACATTTTCTTATTCAACAGTGTTCCTTTCTGGCCATTTGGTTACTATATTAGCCTGGGTTTGCTAAAGACTTGGGGGTAAGTCATGGGGAATTGAGAGTTTAGGAGGCTGGGGAAACACTGAAGAGGGCAAGAAGCACATCTGGAATTTGGTCTGAGAAACGGTTCGGTGGTGACTTGGCCTGATAACAGGTTGATTAACCCTGGCAAACAGCCAGTAGATCAACAGCATTCTGTACTACTGTACTATTTCCACCACCCTCATCTCGCTTTGCCCATGCTATACGCTAATGTCAAAGAAACAACAACAAAATATTCTTAATTTTTGTATTCTATGCTTTGTCTTTTAGGATCAAAAAAAGTGAGATCATAGTCATGCTGGACTTGTTTAGGAAAGATGGAAGTATGTTAGTTACTTCATGGTTATGATTTCTAGGATGTAGAAGACAGATTAGGCTCCTCAGATTTTGTTTTCTTTTGCTTTGTTTTATGGATGAGGAAACTGAGTCTTAAAGAGGTTAAGATTACAGAGGAAGGAGGCTGGTGGTTAAGTTGGAGCTGTAATTTTTCTGACTCTTAAATCCATTATATTACTTGTTTTTCGTTATATTGGCATATCTGTTTTATTTAAAAATTTAATTTCCTATATTATAAACCAATACATTCCCATGGCCTAACATTAATAAAGTACAAATAGAGTACAGAGTGAAATGTCTTCCTATTATCACTATCTCACAGCCACACACTGTCCCTCCCTCCCACCCTTTTAGTAGGTGTATCATGGTACATTCAGTCCTTCCATTGAGATTTAGGTTGTTTCCAAACTTTGATTATTACAAACTATGCTGCAATGAATAACATACATATTTACAAATCTATCTGTGAGAAAAATTCCTAGAACTAGAATAGCTGGGCCATTGTAGGTGTAGCTGGGCCATTGTAGGAGATAAAACATCCGATGACTTCAGGTACTTTCCAGAAAAAAAGGGTAAAAGCATTTATCTTTTGATAGATATTGTCTAATTGCCCTTTTTTAAAAGATTTTATTTATTTATTTGAGAGAGAAAGCATGTGCATGCTTGGCGCACGAGTAGGAGAAGGAAGAAAGGGGCAGAGGGAGAGGGAGAAGCAGACACCCTGCTGAGCAGGGAGCCTGATGCGGGGCTCCAGCCCAGGACTCCCGGATCAAGACCTGAGCCAAAGGCAGATGCTTAACCAACTGAACCACCCAGGCACCCCTCTAATTGCCCTTAAAAGAGTTACCAATTTATGTTTCTATCCCCAGTGTATGATTTCTCAGTTTAAAAGCTAGTTATTTATCGATACGGCTGTCTGGAAAGAAAAGTCCACAGACCTTTTGAGAACCAGTTTTCTCCCCCTTGATCCATTGTCCTCAAGACAGGAAGGAGAAGATGTATCTTACCCCTACCTTCAGTATGGTATATCTGATGAGGCTCCCCTTCTTTCCCAGAATCATGTAGCTGCTCCTACTGTTATTTTCTGCTGCTATAGTTAAATACTCTTCTTTTATTCACATATGGGAATATGTTACTAGGACTTGTTAGATTTATTATTTGAAGCATTATGTCAAATCCATTCTCAGTGTGTTTGTTTGGCTTCGGTATTAGTCTTGTGCCCCCAAGAGATCATTCATTACCTGGATTTTCTTTCATAGTCCACTACTACTAAAAATAGACAATCTGTTCTCTGTTATTCTCCCTAATGGAGAGAAGAGGAAAAACTCTAACATAAAGTCCTATAAGATTGATATTTGACTTTTAAATACTTAGTATATCACCTCTACTGAGAAAGTATAACATCACGCTCACTGTCAGGGAGAAATACTTGAAGGAATCCCATCTGTTATCACAGAGCAGGTATTGAGGGTGACTGGGACTGAGAAGCAATAAATTGGTAACTGATACCTTCACCCTTTCATCTTCCCTGTCTCACCTCTCTGGATCACTTCTTACTCACTGGCCAATTGGAGGGAGGTTTATTTTCAAAGCAAAGCTTAGTTATTAGTAATCAAGGCAGCCTGAAAATGAGAGAGCAAGCAGCAAGAGTATAGCTTAACTGATACTCTGTTTAAACATGACTGAAATTTAAGCATAAGCTGAAGGTGAGGATTTTGAAGTTTAGGACATATATGTTATGTAACTCTTCCCATTCACTTTTTTTTTTAAGATTTTATCTATTCATTTGAGAGAGAGAGCATGAGTGAGCAAGCAAGAGAGCACAAGTGGCAGAGGGAGAGGGAGACGCAGGCTCCCTGTTGGGCAGAGAGCCCGATGTGGGGCTCGATCCTAGGACCCTGGGATCATGACCTGAGCTGAAGGCAGATACTTAACCGACTGAGCCACCCAGGCGCCCCTTCTCATTCACTTCTAAAATAACTTCAAGAAAAAGCAATCATGAAATCCAGTTACACAAGCAGGTTGATGAAATCAGGCTAACAGAGAGTCAATGGATGTGATGTCCAAAAAGAGTCTTTGGAGCCAAGGAAGTCTGTGATATTATTCCTCACAACCCCAACCCATCCTTCCATTAGGGTGAATATCCAGAGAACACCTTGAGAAAGGGATGTGCAAGGATGGAACACAGTGCCATTTCTATTTGTCAAATATGAAGTATTGAATCAGTGTGTTTTTTGTAATAAATTCTTTCCTTTGGATTTAGGTGATAGGCCTGTGAGAGTTTATGCCGATGGAATATTTGACTTATTTCACTGTGGTCATGCCCGGGCTCTGATGCAAGCAAAGAACCTTTTCCCTAATACATACCTCATTGTAGGAGGTAAGAAAACATCTGATGACTTTAGGTGCTTTCCAGAAAAAAAAAAAAAATTATAGTAGCCTTTTTCTCCTCTTGTAACATGAATACTGGCTCTTGGTTTGGTTTTTAAATGAGGAATATAGAACAGCCTCTCTAAAACATGAAGTATATGAATTATATAAACCTGGTGAGAGAAGCTCCAAGCTCTTTGACCTGAGATGTCCAGTTTTTAATCTCTGTTTTTAGCTGAGTTTCTGTAGTTTGGGGAGCAGCAGTGACCCCTATTGCCTACTTAAGAACAGCATTTATTCTAGATTTCGGTTTGTCTTTTTTTTTTCCTTTAGACTTTATTTATTTGAGAGAGTGTGTGAGGGGGGTGGGAGGAGAGAGAAGCAGAGAGGGAGGGAGAAGGACAAGCAGACTCTGTGCTGAGCATGGAGCCCAACAGGGGTCTCGATCCCAGGACCCTGAGATCATGACCCAAGCCGAGACCAAGAGTCAGATGCTCAACTGACTGAGCCACCCAGGCATCCCTGTTTATCATTTTGAATCAACTGAAGTGCAAAAGTCTGTTAAGCAAATATTATGTGGTCCAGTACAGTCTTAGGAAAATATAAGAAAACATTTTTAAAAACTTAAGTGATGCAGAAATTCATAGCAGGTTAATTTCAGAGCCAAAGATTTTAGGCCCTTGTTGTATCCTCTCCTCTCCACAAAGTGTGAACATGCTTTTTATTGAGCATTGGTCTTGAAGATGTATCTTGGATTAGGAAAAGCATTGTTACTCAGACTGAGCTGTATCCAGAAAATTCTTCTCCGGGTGGGAAGATTGGTTGTAGTCCTAGGAAACGGGAGAGGTTGGTGACTGAGGATTGGTTAAGCGAAGGGACTTGGACTTACAACTTTATGACGTGGGAACTCAGTTTGCAGCGATGAACTTACGCACAACTTCAAAGGCTTCACGGTGATGAATGAAAATGAGCGCTATGATGCAGTGCAGCACTGCCGCTATGTGGATGAGGTGGTGAGGAATGCCCCCTGGACCCTGACACCAGAGTTCCTGGCAGAACACCGGGTAAGAAACTCAGCACATGGTCCCATTCCTTGTTCTGGAATTCCCTCAACCCTCAAGACTTCTGGGCTTGGGGTAGTTTTCCACTAGCCTTTTTTAAATTTTATTTTATGCTCTATGTAAATTTCACATAGAAGAGATGACAGTGATATTACTAATGCTACTAATCATCCCTAACATTTATATGGGGTTTGGTGGTTTACAAGCACTTTTACATCCATTAATATTTCATTTGCTCCCCAAAACAATCTTATTGGGTAGCTATTATTTCAACTATACATATGAGAACAGAGCCAGAGAAACCAAATGACCTGGTCTGGGATACACAGTAGCAGGGCTAGAAACTGAACTCTTCAGTTAAGTGATTTTTATACCCCCACACTATGAATGTGTTATTAGTAATCCTTTAGAATATACGGTCCTTTAGAATATACAGAGCCTCAGCTATGCTCTCAAGGAGTTCCAGGAAACATAGACTTCTCTTATGCTGACTTAAATCTAGTTTCAGGGCTTTGATTTTGGGCTAGAAGTTGTATGGGATCAGAAACTGGGAGGTTTCCCACTTTTGCTCATTGAGTTAGTAGTATAAAACCCCTCACTCCTTTTAATTCTCACATGTTAAAGAAACAAGTTTCCTATAAATGGCGGGTATAAAAGGTGAGAAGGGTTTATCAGGTCAGGTCGAGGTCCCCAAGCTTGAGGAACCAGCAAGCATATTGTCAGTTCTCAGCAGGGGTATGTGGAATGTCAAAGGTGAGTTGTTCGATGAGGCAGAAAGAACAAAAGTAGCCAAAGTGCTTCAAAAGCAATACTTGGGGGTAGGCCTGAAGCTAAAGGGTATTTGTTAAAACTTTTGGGATTAGGACAGACCTTTTATAGTTCTCTAGCTTTTCTATATCAATACTTGACAGCCAGTGGTACCAAAGGTGATGAATAAGATTATTCTCAGCAACCACAGCCAGGCAGGCCCAGGCAGAAGAGGTTAGAGGAACTTTTAACTTCCCATTTCTCCTTTGTTAGCAGTGAATCCTCAGCCAGCAGTCTTACTTGGCCACCATTCTTATTTTCAGTTTGCTGCCTATCGATCCCTGACAAATTGTTCATAGGTAATCAGGATGTTAGCTGAGAGTCTCTGACACATTCTTGATAGACATGCTTCACACTACAGTGGCTTCTGGGAATTAGGTATAGTAGTTGTATTAGCAATTACATTAGTAAAGGGCATATGGCCTACTCAGGAATGACCTTAGCATATCTCTCTGAAAGATTATTGATCCCAGTGCTATTGATCTCTTTTCACTGTTGCAAGAGGTATTGACAGTAGTAAAATGATAGAGCCCCAGACCTAAAGGTCTTTTATGGCTTTGAATTTTACATTCCTCAGGAGTATAGATGTATCTGTTCTAGTAAAAGGGCTCTTGGTTGCTATTTTTATATTCCCACTCATCTCATGGACTGAGAGAAAAACCAGCTAAGGAAGAAGTGACCTCTTTTGCATATTTTTAGAAACTCTTATTTGACCAATCTTTATAGACCCAGGAGGATGGGGAGATTTCCTTTCTTCTTTCCTCAGCTCCGCTCACTAACTAACACACCAGCAAATCCTCTAGTTGTGTTTACTACAGCGTGATGACTGGTGTGCAGTGTGAGGGTAGCGCTTCCAGTAGACCAGGAGAATTAGCTAAAAAAAGAAACTGGTCAACTTCATATTTATGAGTGATAAATAATTAGATTGGGTGGCTTGTGAATGAGTCACAGAATTTATGAAGCAAAGCAAAGAGAGATAAAGAAAAAAAGTCCATTTGAGGCCTGGCCTCCCCTTGTCCTTTATCTGGATCTGGGGGAGTATTTACTGGAAGAGTATTTTCTGGGGGAATATTTACTGGTTCTTTTTGATGGCAGTGATCCTGGGTTTTACGTGATTTTTCCTTATTTCAGATTGATTTTGTAGCCCATGATGACATCCCTTATTCTTCTGCTGGGAGCGATGATGTTTATAAGCACATCAAGGAAGCAGGTGAGTAAGCTGATGTACATCCTCACTTTATGGAGTCTCAGGGGCAGTAACAGAGATTTAATGACATTGCTACTTTACAGAGGAAAACTTATACACTTAGAAATTCAATATACTTTCAGTCACACTTAAGATGTTTATGTGAGCATAGCACTGATATCCATCAATTCTCAGTCTAAACATCTACTTTTGATATCTCTTTTAATTTTAGGAATCTCTCTCCCAGGCCCATATTTTTTTTTAATATTAGGGCCATATAGTTCTTCCTTTCCTTACCCCTAGCCTTTGATTCAGTCCTCTTCCTGTATGTCAGCATCTCCAGACTTCACTTAGAAGATCGTTTTTTGAGGAAAAGAATGTTGCTCCCAGTGTCCATCTAGTCCTACTGCCTGGGTTAACCAGAATGTCACAGTGTTTGTATGTGTTCTTGGATTAGGTATGTTTGCACCAACACAGAGGACAGAAGGTATCTCCACATCAGACATCATCACCCGAATTGTCCGGGATTATGATGTTTATGCCCGACGGAACCTACAGAGGGGCTACACAGCAAAGGAGCTCAATGTCAGCTTTATCAATGTGAGTTCGACTTCATCCCAGAGTTCCCTGGCCCTATAGGACACATGTTTGCCTCCTACTTTATCTGAGCTAAAGTTGCTTTTCAGTCTGCTGTAATTATCACCTCCAAAATTCAATGAATGCCTCTTTGCTGATTACACTGTGCTAAGCTCTTTACAAAAAGAATAAAACAGAGGCATTCTCTGCCTTTATGGTCTAGTATCAACACATTGATATAAAGACACACAGCCAATTAAATAAGAATATGTTACTCGAGGTGCCTGGGTAGCTCAGTCGTTAAGCATCCGCCTTTGGCTCAGGTCATGATCCCAGTGTCCTGGGATCAAGCCCCGCATTGGGCTCCCTGCTCAGCGGGCAGCCTGCTTCTCCCTCTCCCACTCCCCCTGCTTGTGTTCCCTCTCTCGCTGTGTCTCTCTCTGTCAAATAAATAAATAAAATCTCAAAAAAAAAATATGTTACTTAACATAGTACAGTATTTATATCAAATATATTTAAAACAGCTTTTTTTTTTTTTGATTCGATGGTCTTTGGAAAATGTAATGAAAGTTGTGGGTCCTCTCCCTGTGTGGATAGTGGCACACAACATTTTCCATGCAATTTCTCAGGGCATGTGGACCTAGGTTTTAAAATTTGATTTATGAAAGCAAAGTGTATCTTAGCTTAATATTGCCTTTTAGAAACAAACTGCTATACATGTTGTATATAAATTTTATCTTAATAAAGTTGATTTTAAAAGAAGAAAGCTGGGCGCCTGGGTGGCTCAGTTGGTTAAGCGACTGCCTTCGGCTCAGGTCATGATCCTGGAGTCCCAGGATCGAGTCCCGCATCGGGCTACCTGCTCAGCAGGGAGTCTGCTTCTCCCTCTCCTGCTCCCCCCTCTTGTGCTCTTTCTCTCTCTCACTCTCTCTCTCAAATAAATAAATAAAATCTTAAAAAAAAAATAAAAATAAAAATAAATAAAAGAAGAAAGCTGCTAACTATAATTCTATACAAGTAGCTTACCATGCTCCCTTACCTGCTGCCAGTTGTGTGAATAATGAATAGATGAAATGGTTTCATCGAAATGTGTTTATCTTTGCAGATAAACCCTAGCTTTTGTTAACCACCTACTACAGAATCTTTTTCAGGTGTTTAAAAATACTAAACATATTCCCGTTCCCCTTTATGATCTGGAAATTATGAAAATACTTTTCCTTTGGCTAAACATCCTCCCCCCACCCCCAGAGGGTTCATACCATTTTCCCTTCTGTTAGGGAAGCTGGTAGGACCATAGAGTATCATCTTCATTTTGCAAATGAGCAAACAGATCTCTAAATACTAAAAAATAAAACAAACAGCTCTTCTAAAATCATAGCATAAGCCAATGATAGAAAGCATCCAGTACAATAAGCAAATTAAGTAAAAGATCTGCTACTTCAACCTATTATAGTTGTCTTATTCTTGGCAATATTGTGCAGTAATCCTGTGGCGCCTTATGTATCTTCATCTAGAATGGGGTTTGGGTTATGTTGGGCATGTTTATGTTCCAAGTTTATGGTTTTTTTTTTTTTAATTATTATGTTCAGTTAGCCAACGTCTTGTACATCACTAATTTTTGATGTAGTCTTAAAAAATCTGACTTCATTTGGCTATATGCCCATCTGTTACTGAGCATACTCTATATATTTAGTTTAGTCCAGGCTTCTACAATGTTCGGATTATCACACTTTCATATAAGATGACCATCCAGAGTATATTTAATCTGTTATTATGCTAGAGAAACAAGGGATAGATTAGGGCGAAGTGAAATTCTAATGACTGGAAATAGTGTCAGTAGAGTGCTGAAATACTTTTTTCTTCTTCTCCCTTTGGAATGGAGGTCAGAGTATTATTTCTCAAAACAATTATTTCTTTACTTAGGAGAAGAAATACCACTTGCAAGAGCGGGTTGACAAAGTAAAGAAGAAAGTGAAAGATGTGGAAGAAAAGTCAAAAGAATTTGTTCAGAAGGTCGAGGAAAAAAGCATTGATCTCATTCAGAAATGGGAGGAGAAATCCCGAGAATTCATTGGAAGTTTCCTGGAAATGTTTGGTCCAGAAGGAGCGCTGGTATGTTCTTTCCTGGTGGACAGTTTAGGGAATTTCAGGAAAATTTAGGGAATTTTCATGCTGTGGAAAGAATTATAGCATTATAGAAAGGGACATCAACATTAAGTAGTTATCTAATCTGTTCCTTATATTGGGCTGAACTATATTTCAACTATCCCCAAAAAGTTGTTTAAAATCGTTACGCAAAGAGGTTACATATTCTCCTAAATAATTTTGCCAGCTGTCAACCTCCAAATCTGGTGATAAGCAAGTAACCTTGCCCAGCTTCTTTCTGTATTATAGTTTTAGATAAAAAGGAAAGGAAAGAATGAAGAACAGTAAAAAGAAAGCTGTGCCATTACAAACAGCTGCTGCAGAGCTGCTGCCTGAGGTTAGAGTTCTGTCCTTGAGGAGTAACAAGATCTTTTCAAGCCAAATAGAAGGTGAATGTAGTTATTTAGCAAATGGGCCCTAGGATATCTGGAAGGATCTAACTGTGAAAGTATTTGATACCAGAACAGATTATTCAGGGAGAATATAGAATTTCCTTTTCAAAGAGCTCTAAAACTAGAATAGGTACTCTTTTGTCTGGGTTAGTTCCTTTGTTTTTGCCTGGAGCCTGGACTGCAGACCAAGTAGCCATTTAAGAATTCCTTTGACACAGAAGTCGAGAATTGGGTGACTGCAGATAACGTGTGGAAACCCTTAGATAAGTAGCATAGTGTGGACTACTTTAGGGAGGAAATTGCTTAAAATTTTAGATATATCCCTCCCCTAGCTTATTTGATCACTTTTGACATTGCAGAGGGCACTTGTGATAATTTGAAGTCTCAGATCCTCCAATGGTGATTTAGTAAGATCCCTAGGTTTCTTCTAATTCTTCCTTTTGGTCTCCCTAGAAACATATGCTGAAAGAGGGGAAAGGCCGGATGCTGCAGGCCATCAGTCCAAAGCAGAGTCCCAGCAGCAGCCCCACTCGGGAACGCTCCCCCTCCCCGTCTTTTCGATGGCCCTTCTCTGGCAAGACTTCCCCGCCTTCCTCCCCAGCAAACCTTTCCAGGCACAAGGCTGCAGCCTATGATATCAGTGAGGATGAAGAAGACTAAGTTTTCATCCCTCCTTTCCTCTTCCCTCCCTCTGTCCCATCACCTTTGGAAGCTCTCTGTTGAATTTCAAATTGTGATTCCAACACTAAACCTAAGGACAGCTACAAAGGAAAGAAAGTTGGGGCAGGAGGGTGTAGGATGGGATCAGCAGCCCATCCTCCAAGAGACATCACCTAGCCACACGAAGAAAGAGGCTGACTACACCTCAGAAACCTGTTCTGCACCCATATACCCTCCCTACAGACTTTGCTTTACTGTTTATGTTCATGTGATTTTGACAGGGAAATTGTCATTTTTATTAATTTTTTAAAAATTCGTCTTTCAAATGTTGTAAGTAGAACTAATTCTTTGCCCCTGAGGAGTGGGCAGAAGGAAGTGGTGTATTACCCAGAGGCCTTTTCTTCCTGATACACTATAGTGTTTGCCTTCTGTTGGTGGCTTGCCAAGTCCTTCAAGCAATGAGCCATGCTGATGAGTGATTTCAGGGGGAGGGGAAATAGCATAATTTTGGTGTCCTTAAAAAAAAGCTAAAAGCTGAGTAAACTCAGTCACAAACCCCCTCAATGAATTGCTGGCACATGTGTCAATGTGGCTGTGAGAAGAAGATCTGAGCCGAACTTTTCTTACTCCCTGAGGAGTTTCTTGTTGGACCCGATGGGGCCCATGGAAAGACACTGATGTGGATGGGACAGACCACATGGCATCAGCTGCGGTTTTCCTGCTGTGTTCATCTTCTCAGAAAACTCTGTTGCCCAGTTATTTGGGAACTCTTGTCAATCTCTTTCCTACAGTCTACCTTTGAAGGAAGGAACACTTTCAGGTTTATTGTGATTGGGGAGGGGAGTGGGACAGTACTCAATCCTATAAAGGATCAGGTTAGGTTAATTTTCCCATCTGGGTGTAAGTCCCTGGCCCTGCTATTTCAGTGCTTATTACCTAGCTTTTTACAGAGGATACTTTGTAAATGTCTGCAGTTTGAACATGATCTGTTAATCCATGTTGCTCAAAGCCATATTGAATATTTAGAGAGATTTGCACAGAATTTAAACACAAAAGTATAAAGAAACACCCCCCCCCCCCCTAAAGCCTTATCTTGAACTCTGTCCTTCTTAAGAATGTTCTTAACTGGAACTAATGCTCCAGGTGGTGTTTCTTTTCCTCTGAAGGTTGCAGTGGTTGGGACTTCCCTCCGCTGCCCCTCCAGCAGGCCACAAAACATTACAAGAGAATGGCAGGTTCTCTCCCTTTCCCACGTGTGCCTGGTGGTTATGGTCCCACTTCTCCTGTTAGGTTGCCCAGGAGGATTCGTCACTTATATTCCACATCAGAGTTGCTGAAGCTTAACACTTGCAGTTGAGTACGAGCTCATTTTAAGCCTCTAGCATTCTGCAGCTACATGACCGAGCAGACCATCATCTTCAATAATCCTGTAGCTGGGTTCAGGGGTAAAATTGCTTATGTCCAGGCCCCACCCTGTCACTCATAAATACCCCTTGTGGGGGTGGAGTTTTGGTGTTTTCAGCTAAGAAAACTGCATTTTATCTTTTCTTGCCCCTATGCTAGGGCTGTAAGCATCTCATAGTCTCTTCCCTAAATACTTTCTGGTAAAACCTGCTCTTCTGCCTGAGGATCAGAGGCTAGAATCACTGCCTGCTTGCACAGCAGGACTACCTGGTTTCCTAAAACTCCGATCACCCAGAGAGACAGAGTAGAGACAAAGAGAGGGAAATCTCTTGTTGTCCTGACGGCTTATGTAAACTACATTTCTGACTCTTCTCATGAAGTGCTATTTTTGCTATCAAATATGGTTTACATGAGCTTTGACTTGGAATCCTTTTTTTGAAACAGTTCAAGTTCTTGTTTTCCTACATTAACCAGCTTCGTAGGATCACATATTTTAACTTTTCTGCTTTAGTCTTCCCTCTTTGGGCATTCTGCCTATCTCTGTCTTATTCTCCCTGGTATAGAAAGATGATGAAATCATCACTGAAGGTCACCTACCTGTTCCCTCAAAGTACATATTGGCCAAGTGTATTTGGCAAGGGAGATGCTCAGAATGTGGTTTTCCTCCCTGCATGTCACTCCTCTCAAGTTTACTGTCTGGACCTCTTCCTCTGCTCTGTCAATGGGCTACTTTGGGCATTCCCTGCCCTTGGAATATAACCGCTCTGCTAATAAGTTCTGTGAGACCGCCAGGGCCAGCATATGCACAAGTGCTTGGAAAGCCCTCTCACCCCTTTTGATGAGCCTCTGTGGCCTCAGTCTCCTAACACTAGTGCATCCTCAAATAATTTTGACTTAAGGCTAAAACTTTTATTGTGTGGCATATTAGCTACTTTGGGATAAATGTGATCCTAGGTGCTGGACAAGGATGTGTGGAGGGAAGAAGCTGTTGGGATGATGTGTTATTTGATCATTTGTGCCTAATTAAATGAAGTTAGTGGTTTGCCTACCATGACCATGCCTGTGATCTGTAAATCTTCTATTATTAATTTTAATATTAACTATTAATATTGATTTCTAATATTAATATTAATTAGCTATTTCCCTGAATCCCACACACAAAGCAATAAGCCAAATGTAGCAGAGATGGGAGAGCCTTAAACACTGGTTGGCTTCAGAGCTCAGTCTGTAAGACAGAAGAATGGAGACAAACCCAGGAGCTGGTGCTGGGGAGGTGCTACTTCATTTACCTTGAGATGGCTGGGCAGAAAGTTTGCTCTTTTCATACACTAGACTCAGTAGCACTAAGGAATAGAGGTTGAAACTTTAGAGGAGTAGAAACAGATTCTTTGTACTGCTGCAGCTGTTTCTGATAGCTAGAGCCAAAGACCATTATTTCGCTGAGGCTTGGGTAAGAAGGCTGGGGATAGGAGGAGGTTGAAGATGCTAAATAAGAAAAAATATGAAGCATTATGAGGTCAAGAGAACTTTTGACTTTTTCAGATTGCTGATAACCCAGCACCCGAGTTAGATTTTTCTTATTTTACTTGTGACCACACAACTGGTCAGGCAGCCTCTGGATATTCCATCCCCCGGTGGCGCGCCCCCCCCCCCCCCCCCCCCCCCCCCCCCCCCCCGCCCCAGATGGTTCTTCACAGTGCTTTTGTTTCTCCGGATTATCTTGATTTGTGGGTAGCTTTTGTTATTCTGGAGCTCATTGCTTTTTTGACCCTGTTCTAGATCTCTGTCTAAAATCTTTCCAAATCAATTATATTTTGCTGCTTTTCTTTAATTCCCTAAAAGCCTTAGCTTCTACATTTTCTGTCAGCACACACTTTCACCAGAAGTTGAACTAATACAGGTAGGAAAAAAAGCTCCCTTAGCAATGTTTTTAACTAATGGTATTTTTTTTTAAAGCTTACCAATATAGGTATTTTTAAAGATTGTATTTTTCAAAATCATACAATGATTGTTCTTGTTTTCTCTCATAGAATAGATTGTCATGGGATAAAGAGTGGTCCCTAGCTTCTATTTTTCCAAATAAGTAGGACATGTTCTTAGGATTATACTATTAAAAGTTAATTTTCTTTAAAAGAAAGAAGAAAGATTTTCTGTCTGCCAAAGTTGTATGTTAATTCTCAGATTGGGATAGAAAACAAAAGTGCTAGGTTTAATACTAGGATGACTCAGGTTGTGTTCCTTTAGGTTTAAAGAGGGCTTTCCCACCCTTCTTAGGGGGGCACTGACTGTTTTAAACACAGAGAGTTGATTGGTTGCTTTGTATTGAGGATCTTGAAAAGAAAAGGGCGTGTGGGAAGAAACACTGGCCTTGATGTGAATGTTAGCCCCATCCCCAGTGCCATCATCCATAGGGCATTTTCCTCAATCCGTGTTCAGTACATTGTTTTCCTATGTGAGTGTTATTAATTTGTTCAGTTATTTTGGCCTTTGTCATTAGGCAAATAAAGGCAAAGTTGTTTTACCTAATGTTCCATTTCCTATGTTTTTGACCTGGTATACATGTGTATAAGATGTTTTATGTATTTGGGACTTTTACCTATACCCTCAGTTCCTTTGGTTTTGCATCGTAATTTGTCCCCTCAAAATTGTTCCATGACCATATTATCAGGGAAATCCTTTTGCAGCTTTGCATAGAAGGCCCAAAAAGCCATTGTGCCTCTAAGGGAGGCTGATCCAGACCTATGAGGTCTAATGTCATCAGTGTCCTAATGACATCTTCAGAAGTCTGGTTTCTTTTGAGACTTTAGGTTTGTACTATTTTTGCCTGGTTGAGTTCCTTTTTTTTTTTTTTTTTTTAGTTGACATACAATGTTACATTAGTTTTAGGTGTACAACTTAGTGGTTTGATAAGTTTATACATTCTGCTATGCTCACCACAAGTATACCATCTGTCCCATTACATTGCTATTACAATATCATTCACTGTATTCCTTTTTTTTTTTTAAGATTTTATTTATTTATTTGAGAGAGTGAGAGCAGGTATGCATGGGCAGAGGGAGAGGGAGAGTCTTTTTTTTTTTAAAGATTTTATTTATTTATTTATTAGAGAGCGAGCGAGAGAGAAACCGCATGAGAGAGGAGAGGGTCAGAGGGAGAAGCAGGCTCCCCGCTGAGCCGGGAGCCCGATGTGGGACTCGATCCCAGGACCCTGGGATCATGACCTGAGCCGAAGGCAGTCACTTAACCAACTGAGCCATCCAGGCGCCCGGGAGAGGGAGAGTCTTAAGCAGACTTTGCACTGAGCACTGAGCCCAACACAGGGCTTGATCTCATGACCCTGAGATCATGACCTGAGCCAAACTCAAGAGTCAGATGCTTAACCAACTGAGCCAGCCAGGACCCCCTCATTGACTGTATTCCTTATGCTCTGCTTTTTATTCTTGTGACTAACTCATTCCACAACTGGAGGCCTGTATCTCCTACCCCTCTTCACCCATTTTGCCCAATCCCTCACCCCCTCTCCTCTGGCAGCCATCAGTTCTCTGTATTTATAGTTCTGATTCTGCTTTTCATTTGTTTATTCATTTTCTTTTAGATTCCATTTATGAGTGGAATCATATGGTATTTGTCTTTCTCAGTCTGACTTATTTCACTTAGCATAATACCCTCTAGGTCCATCCCTGTTGTCTCTAATGGCATGGTCTCAGCATTTTTTATGGCTGTGTAATATTCCATTGTATATGTAAACCACATTTTCCTTATCCATTCATCTGTTGATGGATACTTAGTTTGCTTCCATGTCTTGGTTATTCTAAATAATGCTGCAATAAACATAAGGGTTTGCCTGGTTGAGATTTACTCCTGTTCTTATAACAGGCAAACTACCATATACTTTCCCCTCTTTCATTGGCTTTGGGAAAATTTAGAGTGACCTTTGAATACAGAAGTTTCAAGGGCTAATAGTGTTACCCACAGAAGCAATGTACCCAGTTACAGAATTTTAAACTCTATCCTGTTTATTATAAAACTTAAAATACCTTCTCCAGGCAAGATCCAAAATAATTGCATCCTATTCCATAATTCTCCTTCATCCCCTATATTCAATGTAATCTATCAGCTTGTGCTAAAAATGGAATCCATCTGCATTTGGTCAAGGTTGAGGGACAGTGAGGAAATCTTGTGCCTGTTTAATGTAATCAGTGTCTCTTTCAATGTCCACCTTGGACTTTGAGGTCAAATCCAGGCCTGAGGAAGAAAAAGGTTCATATCCAACCTTGTTGTCTTTCCTTCGGTAGTACATGCGTGTCAGCACAGTCAGTAGAAAAGTCTCCAGTATGAGGAGGTGGCAATTCATCACTGCAGCATGGAATGAAATATAATGTAAGTTATGCCAAATTGTAGAGGTGGTATCCCACCAGCAGCCCTGGCATATGAGTTCAGCAACACTTTCTCCAATTTGTCCTCAAACCAAGTCTAAAGATATTAAGTTGTCATAAGTAACATAGCAGATTAATGGTAGAGCCAAAACCAGAACTTGACTCTCTACCTTCTGCAAATGGAGGCTAGCATTAAACCCCATTTCTTTTGTGTGTTTTATCATCATGACCTTCCTTCTTTTTTTTTTTTTTTTTTTTTTTCTGAGAGAGATCGAGCAGTGGGGAGGGGCAGAGTGAGAGAGAATCCCAAGCAGATTCCACGCTTAGCATGGAGCCTGATGTGGGGCTTGATCCCACAACCCTGAGATCATGACCTGAGCAGACATCAAGAGTCGGATGCACTTAACCGACTGAGCCACCCAGGCGCCCCCGTCAGCATGACCTTCTGCTTTCAAACCACACCCATTCCTCTCCCAGAAGCTGAGGATCGAACCTGTAGCTTCCTAGGTTGGCCATCAGGACTGGCCTCAAGCTGTGGGATTGCAGCTCTCCTCTGTGTGGTCGGAGAATCCACCATCTCCTTAAAACCCCACTAGGATTTCTCAGGAGATCCCTTTCTGAGTATTCTTAACAGAAGCCAGGCTGGCCCAACCTCTCTTCCAAGGTCCTCTCTTCCCTGACCCTCCTTTCTCGCCCATTCTGGAATGAGAGAGGAACTCTCTGTGCTCACCTTGAGACCTGATTTTAGAGGAAAAGGGAGGTGAACAAGCAATCTGCCCGCTGTTGGCCAAGATTGAGAAGATGGATGGCTGCAGGGCAGTCAGGATGAGGAGAACCTGCAGAACAAAAGAGAAGGAAGGGCAGGAGGGGCCCAGCACCCGTGGCATTGAGGCCAATAGGCCCCCTGCTGTGCTTGACCTTCCACAGTGCATTCAACTGACCTTTCGATCTGTGCACTTACAGAGGGCTAAAACTCACTTAAGTAAAGTTTTGTGGAGTTTTAATCTTTAGGCAAATTACAATCTTGTCTTCTACCCAATATTTTACGATAATCTGTGACAAGAAACAAGAACTGATTGGGGGTCCATGTTTATATCCCTATCTCAGCCATGGCTACTGATGAACAGTCAGTGGATGAACAGGGTGGATGGTTAGAGAAGACTATTTCCATCTGGCTCAAGGACCTGAGATTCCCTGATCTTAGAATGAGGGGCAATTGGCCATGAAGGAAGGCGCCCTTTGAAAAATCTCTACTGTGCCAGGGGGTGGGCGGAAGGGGGAAAAGGGGAATTAATGTTCAATAGGTACAGAGTTTCTGTGTGGAAGGCGAAAAAATTCTGGAAATGGATGGTGGTGATGATTGCACAACAATGTGAATGCACTTACTGCCACTGAACTGTACACTTAAAAATAAATTGGTGGGGCGCCTGGGTGGCTCAGTCGGTTAAGTGACTGCCTTCGGCTCAGGTCATGATCCTGGAGTCCCGGGATCGAGTCCCGCATCGGGCTCCTTGCTCGGCAGGGAGTCTGCTTCTCCCTCTGACCCTCCTCCCTCTCATGCTCTCTGTCTCTCATTCTCTCTGTCTCAAATAAATAAATAAAATCTTTAAAATAAATAAATAAATTGGTAAATTTTATGTATATTTTGATACAACAAGAAAAAAAAAAGAAGAAAAAAAAATCTCTGTCCAGAGGCTCCAGCAACACCATTTGTCTTAGTACTTGTCCTCCCTGAGCACACTTTTCTGAAGCATCAGCCTCTTCAAGGCAGACTCAGCATGTCCAGGTGTCCCCACAATAGTCCTGGGCAAGCTCGGCAGTCACAGGGTTTTTAGACTGTGGCAAGACCCTAAGTACTTCTGGGGCCCAGATCCTTTCTGCCCTTTCAGTCCCTGACTCAATTCAGGCTCTTCTGGCCTCTCTCTTCTTCAATTCTACCTACTATATGCCCAGAAATCCACATTTCGGAGGCATCTGCTTAGATCAAATGAGAATTTATGTGAAAGCACACTGTTAACTATAAAGCAGTCACGAAGCTGTGGGAGTAGGAGAAGGGCCTAGCTAGGAGACAGAAAGAATGGAGAGAGAAGGAAAACAAGATTGGACTAGAAATCATTGCATTTGCTTTAGAGAATGGAAAGTGTCAAAGTGAAAAATGTGCCTTGCGGAGAACTTTCAGAAGAGGTGTGCAGGCAGCATGATGAGAAAAAGGAATGTGGATTTGAGAGTCAGACAGATCTAGGTTTAAATTCTAGTCCCACACCTATGTGCCTTCGAGCAAGCCCAATGATGTCTCTGGGCCTCATTTGTACAATAGAAATAATAATGACTCCTAAGATTATTGTGAAAATTTAGATGTAATGTATGAAAAATCCCTAACATGTGGTCAAGGTAGTTCATAACTATGATAATGCTGATGCTCCTGGTGGTGATGAATTATAGAGCTTTAGAAAGTGTTGGGTAGAAAAGAAAAGAAAAAAGCAAAGGTAGAAGAATTTAAGGTTGATAATACACATTCTAGGAGTTGAAGTGCATCCCCTAAAACGATATGTTAAAGTCCTAACCCCCAGTACTTCAGAATGTGATCTTATTTGGAAACAGCATCATTGTTGATTAACTCATTAGGTGTCATGAGTTAAGATGACATCATGCTGGAGGAGAGTGGATCCTTATTCCCATATACTGTTGTCCTTATAAGAAGAGGAAAAGAGACACAAGACACACGACACATGCCATGTCATGGTGGAGGCAAAATCTGTGATGCAGCTGCCAGCCGGGGAGTGCTGGCCAACCACCAGAAGTTAGGAAGAGGCAAGGAAGAATTCTCCCCTATAGGTTTCAGGGGGAGCATGGCCTGGTCGACACCTTGATTTTGAACTTCCAGCCTCCAGAACTGTGAGCAAAGAAATTTCTGTTGTTTTAAGCCACCCAGTTTGTGATCCTTTGTGAGGGCAGCACTAGGAAGCTATTACAGCACAGAAAAGCAAAAGCTGGGAAGGGACAGGAATCGTTTTCTAAAGCTCACAGGAAACCTAGGCTTAAGAAGGTTTCCAGACCCACTTTTGGTCTTTATTAGTCTCATCTCCTAACCCCAGTTACTGGTAGCTCTAATATTAACCATCTTTACTCTCCCAGGGTGTAGTTACCTGA